GCAAATCTGGCCCTCAGCTGTGCCTGAGCATTCAGAAATAATCTGGGTGATGCTGAGTCACGAGTTTGGAGGTCTCTGTCCCACCCAGAGATGGAAACGCCACTCCAACACAGAAAAATCTGAGCTCTGCTACAAGAACTGGTTTGCAACACCAGGTGAGAGCTGGTGGCACCAGCAGAGGCTGTTGGACTCCTGGCAAACTGGTGCCCTGGGGACCATCCTCCAGGGGATGGCTGACACAGTGCATGGGACTTCATTCTTTCAGCCCTGGAAGTGTAAAAACCAGCCCTGTTTTCCAGCCAGGGTCAAACAGCATCCCAGGGCTGTGCATCCCAGGGCTGTGCATCCCAGGATTCTGCATCCCAGGGCTGTGCATCCCAGGGCTGTGCATCCCAGGGTTCTGCATCCCAGGATTCTGCATCCCAGGGCTGTGCATCCCAGGATTCTGCATCCCAGGGTTCTGCATCCCAGGGCTGTGCATCCCAGGGTTCTGCATCCCAGGGCTCTGCATCCCAGGGTTCTGCATCCCAGGGCTCTGCATCCCAGGATTCTGCATCCCAGGGTTCTGCATCCCAGGGCTGTGCATCCCAGGGTTGTGCATCCCAGGGCTGTGCATCCCAGGGTTCTGCATCCCAGGGCTCTGCATCCCAGGGCTGTGCATCCCAGGGCTGTGCATCCCAGGGCTGTGCATCCCAGGGTTCTGCATCCCAGGGCTGGGCCACAGCTCTTGTCTCTGGAATGTCACCCCAGTTCCCACATCCAGCCCCCTGAGTCTGCCATGGGGATGTTGCAGGGATGTCCAGGGGGAGTTTGGCCCCAGAATATCAGTGGGATGAGGCTTTTAAGGGGGAAAATCAGTATTTCTCAATCTCCAACTTCTGCAGATGTGTGTAAGCTGTGCCTGTGAACCTCCCCCTGCCAGGGGCTCCTGCCCCGAGCCTGCCTTGCTCTGTATTCCTGGGGAGAGGTTTGCAGCTAAAGGAGAACCAAGTTTTTCCATCAAGGCTGATTTTAGAAAGCTGTTGAGGGGGATGTTCAGATCACTCTGAACATTCACTCCCATGAAGAGGAAGGGAACCTGCAATCCCCCACAGGGGCTCTGACGGATCCCATCGCACAGGACTGAATTGGCAGCAAGCGGAGTTGGTGCCCTGGTACCTCCCTGAGGGGGAGAAATGCCTCAGTCAGGGGTTTGCTGTGGATTTTGGGCTCCTCAGCTTAAAATTCACCAGGCAGAGGCTGAAGAAATTCCCTGCTGAACTGAGGCAAGAACAGCAGGGGATAAAGGTGGAGGAGCTGTCTCTGTGCTCTGACATGGCCAAGCTTTCCTCCCCTTGGGCTTCCTTGATGCCTTCCAGTTTCTGCCTGGAACGTGCTGAGAGAATCAGGGAATGATTTGGGTGGGAAAGGATCCCCAAAGCCCATCCAGTGCCACCCCTGCCATGGGCAGGGACACCTTCCACCAGCCCAGGCTGCTCCAAACCCCATCCAACCTGGCCTTGGACACTTCCAGGGATCCAGGGGCAGCCACAGCTTCTCTGCCCAACCTGGGCCAGGGCCTGCCCACCCTCCCAGGTGTTCTGTACAGGGAACCTGCATTTCCCAGTTCTCAGTCTGAAGCCATCCTTGTCCTGTTCCTGCAGCTCCTGGTGCCCCTCTCTGCACATTCTGTGGGGGGGAAGAGGAGGAGGAAAACAGAAGAGAGAAAGGGGAAGTGGGGAAGGAGGGAAAGAGAAGGGAAAGCAGGGAGAAGGCTGGGGAAGGAGAAAGGGAAGGAGAGAGGAGGTGAGTGGGGCCATAGGAAGGAGCTGGCTCACACACCAGGATATGCAAGGATGAGCTTCCTCCTTCTGTCGGGACAGGTCGACACAGACCCCGAGACAGCCTGGAAAAAAAGCGGGAGGAGGGAGAAGGGAAGGGTCTGTGAGGCTTGCATGGAAAACAAGTTTAAATTCAGAGGCACAGGGATCAGCTGGGCGCTAAGAATTAGGGGGGCTACTCGGTCTGCAGGAAGGGTTGGGGGCTGCAGGAAGGGCTGGGGGCTGCATTAAGGGTTGGGGGCTGCCTGCGGGTCCCTCCTGAGGCACAGGTGACCCCCGGCAGAGCCCCCCGGTATGCGCTGAGCATCTGTGCTGCCCCCCCGCCCGTAACCCGACCCTGCCCGAGCCACGGGTTCACTGCGGGCGGTGCCGTCGGGGGAGCCCCGCGGGCTCTCCCGGGAGCGGGGGAGCATATGGGGAGCAGGGCGGGCGGGAGGACCCGCAGGACGGCTAATCCCATTTGCAGGTAGCCCCTGGGAAGGGGCCGGGAGGAGGGGGGCACAGCTGGGGGTCCGGCCCGGCTGGGCCGGGGGACTGGCACAGCCCCGGGGCTCCGGGGAAGGATGCGGAGCCTCAACCTGCCGGACAGCGAGGCGGGGGTGATGCCCTCCCTGCTTTTGCCCCCGGTAGGAATGAAATGACCCCGCAGAAAAGCGGGATCCCCACGATTCCCCCCACCCTTCCACCTCCCGGGGCGGTGCTGCTCGTCGGGGCTCCCCGGGACCACCTGTTAGCGGAGGGAAAGGCCCTCCGGGTGGGAGCCGGGCAGGCAGACGAGCAGGATTTACCAGCTTCTGGCCACTGCCGACTTTTGCATCTGTCAGGGTGCTAATTATTGCCTTTAATAGAGACAAAGAACAGCTCCTAATGATGCTCCCTCTAATTCTCACCTGCTCCTGCCCTTCTTCCGCAGCAGCGCTCCCTCGCCGAGCCCTGCTAATTGGGAAAGCTGCTCTGCTTATTGCGGCCTCCCCGCGCGTGGGGGGTGGAGGGCTCCGGTAAAGGGGCTCGGGGAGCCAAACCGGGGCAGGGAGGCTGCATCCCACGGCTCTGGCCTGTGGGGAGCTCCCCAGCCTGCTCCCAGCGGCGCTCAGCACCCCCGGACTGCCGCGGGCTCGGCGAGGAGCTGGGGGGAGCGGGGTGGTCTTCGCCCCCTCCCCGCCCTGCCCGGCCCTGCCCTCGGCTGGCAGCAGAGCCTGGCAGAAGGGCTCCTGTGGCAGGGACTGTCCCAAGGCGCTGGCGGACACCTGGCCGTCCGCTCCCCCCTCTACCCGCCTTCCTCCCCTCCCCACCGCGGGAGAAGTCAGGAGAGGGGGGGCTTGTGCTGCAAGGATCGCCTTCAAACCCTCAAACCGGCACGGGGCTGGCACTCTGAGGGGCAGCGCCGGCGCCCTCCTGGCCACCCGGGGCTGGAGAAGGCTCCTGGGATTCCCTCCGGGGGTCAGGCGGGCTTGGGCTGGGTGTCATCGTAGGAAAACGTTGGATTGTTTCTTATAGTCCCTGGGGTGGGGGTCACTCTCTCCGAGCCCGCTTCCCTTTCCTGAGGGGTCGCAGGAGGATGGAGCGAAGCCCACAAGGCAGAGGCTGGAGCAGACCCCAACCCGCCCCGGCCGCCGGGACCGCCCCGTTTCACACCAAAAAAAGAATTCCCTCGGGAGCGGACTCGCTCTCGTTCCCCTGCGGGTGTCTGTGCTCTCAAAACTCCTCCATGCCCCGTGGTAATGCATAAATAATTCTGTATTTATGCGTAGGTAGCCAGCTGCTTATTTTAAATAGCTGTCTTGTCTCGGTCTAGAGAGAGAGAGAGAGATGGGAAAGGATTTGCTGGGGCAGGGATGCTGGTTTTGGGATCTCTTGCCCACCCACAGCCCCGAGAGCGATGCGGGATCGGCCTCCCCGGGGGTGGCGGGACCGTCGGAACCTCCGCCCGTCCCAGCGTCCCCCCCAGGGGCTGCCGACCTCCTTTTCCTCAAAAACACGAATCCCTTGGGCTGTTCCCCTTCTCCTCCCTGCAGGAAAGGGGAAGCCAGAGGCTGCTCCGCGCGTGGAGCCCTTTCCGTGGGCCTTGCGAAACATTTCCTGCCCAAATACCTGCCCAGAACTGCTAAAATACACCGGCGCGAGAGGCATGATCGACTTCGGAAGGGGAAAAAAAAGGGGCCCTCCCCAAATAATTTTCCTTTCCCTTTTCGTGGATTCTCGTTTGGAGGGTGTTTGTTTGAAGGTCAAGTGCGAAGGGAGCCATTACAGGCAGCAAACTCCCCACCGCCAAGTTTAATGTTCCCTCCCCGAATTAACATTTAATTCATATTTAATTAATATTTAGCCCCTGCCAAGCGCTGGATTCGATGGACAACAATTTTCACGTTCCGAACGCGGTACCAGCCGCTTTTTTTCCTTGCCGCCCTGAATCTGCGGCGAACAAATGGGGAAGGAAAAAAGAAAAACCAACAACAAAACCCCCAAACCCAGCCCCCAAACGATTTCCATTAGCCGGCGAGGCAAACTAACAAAAAACTTGGGGAAAAGGCAAGGATGCGCCTAAAGATGTTCCCATCCCTTCCCCACCTGCCTCCGCCTCCCCAGAACAGCGAGGAAGAGGAAAAGGACATTTATTTAAAATGCTTTTGGTTTGTTGGTTTTGTTTGTTTGTTTTTTATTTAAAATCTCAACAGTGGATCACTTTTTTTTTTTCTTTTTTGCAACCAAACAAGTAATAAATATTATTTAGCAACTTTTTTTCTTTTTCTTATTTTTTTTTTTTTTACAAAAATAAACAGATGATAAAATCTCTGCAAGGGGCAGCGATAAGAAAAGTTGTTATTTCAGAAACAAGCCCAAGTTCTCAGTATTGCAACACGGACAGGGTGAAAGTTCCTACACAGAAAGAGCATTAAAGAGTTGAAACTTTGTTAAAGGTGGCAGGAACGGAGAAAAAAAAAAACACAAACCAAAAGTGTTATTCGCTTAAAAGAAAAACAACCCAACAGACCCCAAGAACCCAAACCAACGAAAACAAGGCAGACCGACCCCTTTTTCACTCATGAGGCTGATATAGGACAAGTGCACGGACGGAAAGCTCAGGCAGAGCGGACTCGCGTCGTTATTGGTATATTTACAAATCCCGAAGCGGAAAGAAAACCGACAAAAGGAAAAAATAAACAACAACAACAACAACAAAAAAAAAACAAACAACGGCGGGAAGGGGAGCGGGGAAAGTGGGAATAAACTGACTTTCCCGGCGACACTTCCAGCCGGAGCCAGCGCCGGGTGCCCCGGAGATGGGCTTTCCGGGCAGGAATGTGACTCAGGAACGGTTCCAAAGGCTCTGCGTGTAGAAACGAACCCGGGAGAGGGGAGGGAACAAACAGGCAAACAAATAAACGAGCGAAAGCCCCTCTGCAGTTTTGGTTCCTCCGTTCGCGGCGAGCCCAGGGACCACCCTGCCCTCCTGGCGGAGCCATCGGCGGCGTCGGAGAATTCAAAGGACAGAAGATGCGCGGGGCTTCGCTTGTGCCGGGGTGGTTTTCCCCGCCGTTCGGGGAGCGGGGCAGACCCGGGCCGGGCTCCGTTCCCTCCCGCCGCCCCTCGGCCGGCCCCGGGCGCGGAGCGGGGGGGTCCCGCTGGTTTTGGGGGGAGCGTTTGTAGGTCCTGGAGGTGCCGGCGCGGCGCGGGCGCGGCGGGGCGGCCCCGCCGAGGGGCTCATTTGGTGTCGGTGGCTAATCTGGGCAGGCTGGCGGTGCCCATGCCGGAGACGTGGTGGTGCGGCGGGGCCGACACCTGGCACATGCTGCAGGGGCACGGCATCCCCCCCCAGTGCTGGAAGCCGCTGCCCAGCGGGGCGGCGGCGGCGGCGGCCGAGGGCGACTTGAGGAGCCCGTGCGGGGGCCGGATGGAGCTGACGGCAGAGAGGCCGGAGCCGGGCAGGGAGGCGCTGGAGACGGCGGCGGGGGGCAGGATGGGGTGGTGCACGGGGTGCGAGGCCGGGTGGGCCGGGTGGCCGGGCAGAGGGGCGGAGTGGGCGCCCATGCCGCCGGGGCAGGCGGCGGGGTGGAAGCCGGCGTGGTGCCCGCCGTAGATCTCGCTGACCAGGCGCTTCATCTCCTCCAGGGAGTTGGTGAGCATGAGGATGTAGTTGCGCGCCAGCAGGAGCGTGGCGATCTTGGAGAGCTTGCGCACCGACGGGCCGTGGGCGTAGGGCATCACCTCCCGCAGCCCGTCCATGGCGATGTTCAGGTCGTGCATCCGCTTGCGCTCCCGACTGTTGATCTTCAGCCGCAGCTGCTGCAGCTCCGGCTCCGTCATCTGCTTCTTGTCCTTCTTGGAGGAGGAAGAGGAGGACGAGGAGGAGGACGACGACGAGGACTTGAAGCCCAGCTTGTCCACCACCACCACGCCCGCAGCGCTCATGGCGCTGCGCAGCTCCGCGCTCAGCTCCGGCGGGGAGTCGCTCTGCGTGGAGCTGGACACGGTGCCGCCCGTGAAGCCCCCGCCGCTGCCTTTATTCCTGGCCGTGAGGAAGAGGTCATCGGGCTCCGGGGAGGACGGGCGGCTGGAGACCAGGCTGGCGTCCGAGTCCATGGCCCGGCGGGCGGGGCGGCGGCGCGCACCGGGCTCTGCCTGCGGGGAGGGGAGAGAGCCCGCGGGCGGCCCCGCGTCAGCGCCCGCCCAGACTCGCCGCGACCCCGTCGCTCGCCCACCCGCCCCGTCGGGGAGCCCGGTCCGCGGGGCCGGGGAGCGGCTCCCCCGGCGGGACGGGCCGCGCTGCCCGCCCTCTCCTCTCCTTGGGGGGGCCACCTCTCCTCCCGTCCCGTCCCATCCCATCCCATCCCGTCCGGTCCCGTCCCTCCCTCGGCTCCTCTCCGCCGGGCCGGGGGTCGGGGATGCCTCGCCGGGGGCGCGGGCGCGGGGGGCACTCACCGTGCGCGGGGCGGCCGCGGGGAGGGCGCGCCGGGACGGGCGAGCTCGGCAGCAGCGCGCACCTTGCGGCGGCCGCCGCGGCCGCTTTATAGCCGCGCCGGGGAGGAACGATGTCACCGGGCGGGAGGGGGGCTGCGCCAATCCGCGGCGGCGGCGGGGGGGGCGGCTGATGTCACCGGGGCCGCTCCGGCTCGGTGGGGCGGGCGGACGGGGGGGGACGGCCGGCAGCGGCGCGGGGAGCGCGGCGGGGGGGGCGCGGTGGGGGGGAGGGACTTTTGTCAAATCCATAATAAAATGCAACAATGACAGCGCCGGGAACAGCTGTTGGGGGGGGCGGGACGGGACGGGGACGGGACCAAACAGCCCCTGGCTGCCGCCGGCACGTCGGTGTTTCCCTGCGCCCCGTCCCGCCCCGCCGGGGACCGCTCAGCCACACGCACCGGGCGGCCGGCGCTGTCCCCGCGGGTGTCCCCTCCTGCCCCCAGCCCGGGCGTTATTGCCCCGTTTAGTGCAGCAAAGGGAGGCGCAGAAAAGAGTGATTTCGACCACTCCATTCTTCACGAGCGAATTTTGCCGGCGGAGCCCCCGGCTCCGGCCACGCGACAACCTGGAGAAGTTCTGGGAGAGGCCACCTAAAGCTCCCCCCAAATGAGCCTTCAGCGAGCCCGGAGAGGGAGAGGAAAGAGAGGGAAAGAGTAAAGGACATTAACGGGAAAAAAAACCAAAAAACCTTCGGAAATGCCTCCCACCTTCCTCCGCTGCTCGCCCGGCTCCCGGAGAGTCTCCTCTCCCCGGCAGCTCCGTGCAACAGGGTCGGGGCTTCCTCCCACCAGGGTAAATCCCCCGGCCGCCCCCTCCCCGCCGTTCCCCCCCGGCCCCTTTGCCTTTGTTGTATTATTTTTACACCCGTGTGTTTCCCAGCTGGCCCGGCAAGCCTCAACCATCCGTTAAATATGTATTTAAAACGTTAAGAAGTGAAGCGTGGAAATGTGTTTCCCAACGGTTGCGGGGATGATCCGTAACAGGTCAATTAGGAAAATCTGTCCCAGCGACAGCCGGGCCCGCCGCCCGCAGCCCGGCGTGTGTCCCGCAGCCCCCCGGCCCCGGCCTGGCCACCGGGGACGTGCCCCGGGCTCCCCCCGGCCCTCGCTGCCCGCACCCGCCTGCGGGGCTGCGGGGGGACACCCCGGGGACTGGGGGGGAGCTGGGGCTGAGCCCCGGAGCGAGCAGCGGGCCGGGCAGGGGGGACACGCGTCCGTGCAGACTTGGCATGTGTTGGGCGGTGTGGAAGCGAGACGGGGAGCCGCGCTCTGCCTTTTGACTGATGGCTCTGCGCGGAGCATTGTTGGGGCCGCGGAAAACACGGCAGCAACGAGCACGACTAATTAAGCCCCGGCGCCTTTCCTCCGGCCGGCGGCTCCCGGCAGGGCCCGGTCTGTGGAGGGGGAACGGGCCCCGGCCGGGCCCGGAGGGGCGACGGGGAGCGGGTGGTCGCCCCCGGGGCCGCGGTGCCAGGACGAGAAGGAGGAAAAGGCCGGCATCGCTCGTCTCCCGCTTCCCAGGGCTCGGTAATTTTCCTTCTTAAAAGCTGGGACCTCCCCTTCTCAAAAGGTCGGATCCGCCGCCCCTCCGCCTCCCAACCGGGGGGTTTCCATCCTCCCCGTCGGGTCTGCGGCAGCCGCGGCTCAGCCCCGGGACAGGCCAGCTCTCCCCGCCGCTCCATCAGCCCGCGGGTGGGATGGGAGGCTCGGGGGTGGCGCAGAGGAGGCTGCAGCAGAGGGGGGGTCACCTGCCCCAGGGGGCGGTGGGGAAAAGAGACCTCTGGCCCCTGCCCTGGGGGAATTGGGATGGGCAGCGGACAGGGCTTGCGGAGCTGCGGGGTCACTGCTCCCGGTGGGGGCCTTCGAGCAGTGCCCTGGGGGTCCCGGGAAGGAAGAACCGGGCAGAGGACTCCTTCCTTTTCCTTTTCCTTTTCCTTTTCCTTTTCCTTTTCCTTTTCCTTTTCCTTTTCCTTTTCCTTTTCCTTTTCCTTTTCCTTTTCCTTTTCCTTTTCCTTTTCCTTTTCCTTTTCCTTTTCCTTTCACTTCTCCTTTTCCTTTTTCTTTTCCTTTCCCTTCTCCCTTTCCTTTCACTTCTCCTTCTCATTTTCCTTCTCTTTCTCCTTTTCTCCTCTCCATTTTCTAATTTCCCTTTTTATTTTCTCCTTTTTTTTTTTGTTTGTTGTTTTGTTTGGTTTGTGGGGTTTTTTTGTTTGGTTGTTTGGTTGTTTGGTTTGGTTTGTGGTTGTTGGTTTTGGTTTGTTTTTTTTTTTTTTTCCCCAGTTTTCTTCCCCCCCCCCCCCTTTTTTCCCCCTCCTCCCTCCAGAGAGGAGACCCCACGCCGCTGCCGCCGCCGCAGAGAACCCGGGATGCGTGTCCCTAAGGGAAGGAGCGCTGTCTCTGGTGCCCCCCGTCCGTCTGTCCGGACACGGGCTCTGTCGGTCCCGCAGGGCTCCCCGCAGGGTTCGCGGGGTCCGTTCGGGGCCGGGCCGGGCCGGGCCGCGCTGCCGAGCTGCTCTGCCCGGGGTGCAAGGAAGGAGGAGGGTGATCTCTGCGGCGAGATGACAAATTAAACGTCGCACATCCCCCCTCCTCCCCGGCCTCGGGGAGGCTCCGTTTCCAAACTGCCGCTCGCTGGCGCATCCCGGGGAGCGGCCCCGGACGGGTCCCAGAGGAGCCCTTCACCCGAACTTGATTTTGACACTAAAATGTGGAGCGGAGCCCATTTTCTCAGCTATGAATATGTATTCCTTTTTTTTTTTTTTTTTTTTTTTTTTTTTTTTTTTTTTTTTTTTTTTTTTTTTTTTTTTTTTTTTTTTTTTTTTTTTTTTTTTTTTTTTTTTTTTTTTTTTTTTTTTTTTTTTTTT